GATAAGGTTATCTATGAAAACCAAATGCTATGGATGAGGTTAGAATTTATTCCTTCAATTTGATCACTTAGAATTAATTGATTATATTTTATCATGCATATAAAGTTATATTTTCCTCCAAAACCTTAGAAGTTAAGACTTTCATTATTTGATGACATTATTTGACAGACATTGCAAAATTTTGCTATATCACCTGGATGGATAACTCGGTGAAGGTATAGAATAAAAGGAGTAACTGCGCAATTTCTAAGGAAAAACCTTTTCACTTTTAAGTACTGTTCAGGTCAATAAATGTATTATGAAACCAAATTATACATGTTATTGAAATATTTCCTGTACTCTTCTTATTCATGAACTGTGTTGTGACTTTTAGCTGAGTATGTAGTATTCTGTTAATATGGGTTCCTTATTTTACTTAATCTTCAGCTTTTTGTCTTAAACCTTCATACTCACAGCAAAGTATTACATGAGTAGCAGGGGCTTTAAAAAACACCAAGCCAGCTGGTATTTATTAAGCGAATTCAGTTTGGGCCTTTGTTTCTTATTGGTTGAGTGTGAGATCTATGACTGTATGCAACAACATTATATATTTTATTTTTCATTTTATTTTTAAAAGGTATACATTTGGATTTCTAAATTATTTTTTAAAATTTTCCAAGTATAATAATGGTAAGACAATTTTCATTAAAATGTAGACTGAATTAGCCCTGGCTGGTTTGGCTCAGTGGATAAAGCATCGGCCTGCGGACCAAAGGGTCCAGGGTTCGATTCTGGTCAAGGGCACATACCTCAGTTACAGGCTCCTCCCCACTCTGGGCCCTGGTTGGGGTTCCTGCAGGAGGCCACCAATCCATGTGTCTCTTTCACATATATGTTTCTCTCTGTCTTTCCCTCTCTCTTCCACTCTTTCTAAAAATCAATGGAGCTGAAACCGGTTTGGCTCAGTGGTAGAGCGTCGGTCTGCAGACTGAAAGGTCCCAGGTTCGATTCCGGTCAAGGGCATGTACATTGGTTGCGGGCACATCCCCAGTGAGGGGTGTGCAAGAGGCAACTGGTCGATGTTTCTCTCTCATCAACGTTTCTAGCTCCCTATCCCTCTCGCCTCCTCTCTGTAAAAAATCAATAAAATATATTAAAAATCAATGGAAAAATATCCTAGGCTGAGGATTAGCAACCACAACAAAAGTAGACTGAATTAAAATAATTTGTTTTTAAGAGCTTCATAAAATAACATTTTTTCACCATTTGGTTTCTATACCCTTACCTCATTTTTTACAGTGATCTTTATCTGTTTGCCTGTTTAAATGCTCTTGTTTTGTTGTCTCTATTTAATATCGTAATAGTGAATTAAAGGCAAGTCAAGTGTAACTTTACCCATTCAGTATTATGTATCTCGAAGCTATGATTATTGTGAAGCCTTTGCGTGTGAAAGCCCACTATGGCTACTGAGAAAACTTTGAAATTGAAAACAGTTTGATGTGAGAGTCATTCAAAACAAGAGCTCCTAAGTCTTTTACTTCTCAGCATTGGTAATGTTGTTTTGAATTTTAAGAGGCCCATAGTTTTAGACTCAAAAGCTATTCTTTAAGATATACGTTTCTTCAGTTCCTGAACTGGAATGCTAATAGACGTTTTACTCATTAAATGCATCTTACCGGATATTGACTAGTTCAGAAATATAAATGATGGCAATTCTATGACATTTGTAATCTTTAGTATATCACTTAAAATGAGTGTATGGGAAGTTTGCTCATATAGGTTGGTATATAGAGTAAGGCTATATAAACTCATACTTTTCATTGTTTTCTTTCTTCTGTTTTTTCTTTAAATGGCAATTAAGAGTGAAATATGGGATTACAAATGGTAACCAAATAATGTTTTACACTAATCAGAAAAAGGTATTATAGAAGAATTTATTGGAGTATGTAAAAAACTATTAAAGCAAGATACAGAGACCAGAAGCCATAATTGAAACCCTAAAAATTCAAAATTTGCAATTAACATACATGCTAAAATATATCCTTGAGTAAAAAGATGAACCAAAATATTTTCAAGATGTATCAAACAGAACTAAGTTCCTTAATATATACTCTATTGCATTTAAATACAGTGAGATAAGGCTGACAACCTAAAAAAATGGGCAAAGAACTTTAATAGTTCTAAAAATAATGACACCAAAATTTAAACAAAGGAAAAGATGCACAACTCATAATAAAAAGTGCAGATTAACTACTAGAGTAAAAATGCCAATGGTTATTTATCAGTTGCTAGTTCTTTGAGGTATTATACAACAATATCTAAAATAGTAATTAATAAGCAATAATCTTACATTTCTATTGATAGAATGTAGATGAATAAATTGCATTTGTAACTGGGATATATACAGGTATTAAAAAAGAATAACGTAGGTTTCTTAGTACTAATATCGGAAATATTAAACAGATATTGTTAAATGAAAAAAGCAAACTTAAAATGACATGAATTATACAATCTAATATTTACAAGAGAGACTACACATTCACATATGTACACATAATACTGAATTAGAAAGCGAGAATAATGGTTGCATTTGAGACTAAGAAACTAAGGGATGGCTAAAAAAGGACTTCATTTTTTATTTTTACATTTTTTTATGTTCATGGTTTCTATAAACATCTATAAACATATAAAACAAGTTTAAAAAAAGAAAATTTTAATTCAATTAAGTAAAACATCTAACTGAATACTGCCTGAAATACCTCCCATATGCCACAACTTTCTTGATTTTGTTGGGGATATTATGATGGATAAAATATTCTCCCTACTCTTCTGAAAAATCAGTAAAGCAGTACTAATTTGTAAATAGGGTAAGAGTCAACGTAGTAAGTATTCTATTAGAGATGGGTCCAGAAAGGCTATATATATATATATATATATATATATATATATATATATATATATCCCTTGTAGACCTCAGTGTAGTTTTACATCCTATAAGTTATGGAATAGAACACTATCCAGAGAAAAACAACAGCCAAGTCAATTTTTATATTTACTCATTGAATGCTCACATCAGTACTAGGAAGTGAGTTCCACTATCATGTCAGTTTAAAAGTGGATGAAGAGAACTAAGTGACTTGCAGAAGTTGTCACTCCTTGTACTATGTGGCATTGCTAATGCTCAAATCCAGGTTACAGCACCCAGAGTCTGATTAGCTCAACCAGTCTATTCAAATTTTATTCTATAGTCTGAATTTATCTCCTCTTTGCAAATGAAAAACATAAGATTCAAAGGTTGTATAATTAATTCAAGATTACACTGTAGTAAATGTCAAAGCCAGTGCTAGGGCCACATTCTCCTGAATAAATCCAGTGATCTTCTCTAGTTGGTAGGGGAGTCCTGAGTAAAAAACAGGAGACGAGCCATTTGATAGCACTACTAACCATCAGGACTAATGACAAATCACAGAATGTGTGGTTTCTCTAAGAAAACAATTGCAGTGCAGAGAACTTCCTTTTTGTGAAAAGATTTCCCTTATTCAAGTAATACCAAATAATTTGTTTTGCTCAGTAACTTGGATATGATTTCTTAAGAAATTTTTAAGATTACTAGATAAATAACTGGTATTTATTTAAAACTTGCTTCTGCTCTGTGAAGTGACTCTGTTAGCATTCCAGAATGAGGGCCATGCTAACAAAATTCCAACTTTTCTGTGGGATGATCCAAAACCAGCAAACAGAAGGTATTGCATTTCTTAACAAGTCACAAGTATGTACGTGCAGGCGATGTCATTTCTGTCATTTATTGCTTTTCAGTGTGCCCGTTTTCAAGTTGAAATACGTTGATTTGCAGGTTAATGTGTTCCATGGAGAATTTTTTTTCATATAGGAAATAAAAGAAGAGTAGCTTAAGAGCATGTGAGGTCTCTTTACACCACATTTATACAGGTCTTAACTGGATGCATGTGTTTAGTCTGGTTTTAGGGTATTTGCCTTGAGAGTGTGCCTTCATATGTCTAAGACATTTGCTGGATTAATATCCTGAGTTGTTTCTCTTTCTCAGTTCACAAGTAGATTTATATAAGTACTCTGATGTGACATACAGATCATGATGTGTGTGTAATGATTGTTAAATTAAGAAGAGGTATGGCTCAGTGGATTGAACAGTATCTCTAATTTTTTCCATTATCCTACCTCAGTCTTAGGAGCCTTAATGACCTTCTCAACAGCCAATATCAGAACTACTTAGAAACTTATTTTAAAAGTATAAAACTGCCCTGACCGGTTTGGCTCAGTGGATAGAGCGTCGACCTGTGGACTGAAGGATCCCAGGTTCAGTTCCTGTCAAGAGCATGTATTTTGGTTGCAGGCACATCCCCAGTAGGGGGTGTTCTGGAGGCAGCTGATGGATGTTTCTCTCTCATCAATGTGTCTAGCTCTCTTCCCTCTCCCTCCCTCTCTGTAAAAAATCAATAAAATATATTTTTTAAAAGTATAAAACATTTCATTCATATGTGGAATATAAAACTGAAAGCAACAAATGAACAAACAAATGAAAACTTATAGACACAGACAATAGTATGGTGGTTCTAAGAAGGAAGAGAAATGGGGGTAGTAAAGAGTAACGGGGTCAAATAGATGGTGACTGAAGAAGGTTTGACTTCTGGTGGTGGCCCCAAAATGCAATGTACAGATGCTGTATTAGGGAATTATATGCTTGACACCCATGTAATCTTATAAACCAATGTCATCCCAATACATTTAATTGAGAGAGAGTGAGAGAGAGAGAGGAAGAATATGTGCAGAAATAAAGTGCCATTCTGGACTCTGAGCCATCTTCGCTTTCATGCCAAAGCTTTTTAAAATGTCACAGAGTACCGTGTGTGCTAACATTACGTTGGTGATGGACTGTATTCTACTTAATTCAGCATCCCAGCCATGGTAACAGAATGGCAGAGGGACGGAGGTGACAGCACACCACATGCACCTAACCTGTCTTCTCCCTTCTTCTTAAATCACAGCAAACTCAGTAAAGCTAGAGATGCAGAGTGACGAAGAGTGTGACCGGAAACCCCTGAGCCGCGAAGACGAGATCAGGGGCCACGATGAGGGGAGCAGCCTCGAAGAGCCCCTGATCGAGAGCAGTGAGGTGGCCGACAACAGGAAAGGCCCGGAGCTCCAAGGCGAGGGAGGAATCCGGCTTCCGAATGGTAAACTGAAATGTGACGTCTGTGGCATGGTTTGCATTGGGCCCAATGTGCTTATGGTACATAAAAGGAGTCACACTGGTAAGCAGCTGAAAGAATAACCTGATGACTGCCTGTGACATCTGATGTTGATATTACCTGACATCTATTCTCTCTCCTTTCCATTCAGGGGTGGCAATGGTGAAACTCCCTTTTCAGAGTTCTGCTAGTATTGGATTGCTGAAAAGCAGCAGAGAGTAGCCTGGGTCTTGACTTCCAGCCTTCAGATCTGAATAGCATATCAGAAAAAGAAGTTTGGGATTCAGTTTCCACAGTTCTTAATATAGCAATAATATGATCAGGGTTCAAAAGGTAGAGGAGAATCTCATTGTGTAACTTAATCTTTTTTGTATTTCTATACATTTTTACCATACCCATGGGCAGGTAATACAGTTTGCTAGCAAAGAGTTGATACTCTAAAGTGTTACTCATGCATTTATATAAGGGTAGATCATTTTCACCTGATCTAGTTAATTTCTTGGAATACAATTTCCAATCAATCTTTGCATACCATGGGTCTCTGTAGCAGGCAGATATTTATTTTTCCCAGTTTAAGGATTTTACCAATTTCATGTTATTTTTTTTTTAACCATAAATCCTACAAGGAAATATGTAGGGTGGGGTACAGTAAAGGGTGGTGGGTAGGGAGGTAGGAATCTGTAGTTGTGAAATAGGATGAGGAAAAAGACCTCAGTTTAATTTAATATATACTTTTAGAGATTTGAGTATCGTGAAAACCCGCCAAATGAAAAGGCCTTATTAAAGCTCTTCAAATCCTTTGGCAAATAAATAAATAAATAAATAAATAAATAAATAAATAAATAAATGTGATTGTGGCAGATAATTGACTCTTAAGGAAAGTTGCCAATTCACATAAAAATATATATTCAAGGTAATGCAAACTAGTGTTATTTAGCAAAATACCAATAACTAATACAATCAGAATTTTAAATATGACAGTCTTCTAAAAGAAAGATAAATTATAATAAAGAAGTTGATTTAAAATGTTGATTTGTAAATGACTTGTAGATGCTTAAAACATGGCAGATTCAAGGAACGTTGAAGTTCTTAGTCTAAACCTCTCATTTACACAGGAAGAAACTGAAGCCCAAAACAGTGATGACTTATCCATTATCCCTCATGTAGTTAAGGATATCATGAGGTCAGAGTCAAGGCTCCATGATGCTCAGAGTTTTGTCCAAATATACAACGCTTGGTATATCAATATACCTGCATTTTATGATGAAGTACTATTATAATATGTCTGATATTTTTTAATTATAGTGAGAAGTTAATATGTTAAAATCAGTGTTAGATTAATATCATCAACTTTATATGGATTTAAGATTATTCCAAACATACAGGCAGTAACATTTTTACTTTATGTTTTGTTTTGAATTTCCCTTCAAATAGCATTATATTTTAAAATATTTATATTTAAAATTTAATAGTAATATTTATATTAATAGTGCACATGTGTGTGTTTTTTTCCCCTTTAATTAAAAAAAAATCTCATGGAAAAGTTAAAAGGTCAAGCTTGGATACCATATTTGATAAGATAAAAAAGGGAAAGACTATAAAATAATGGGTCTACTTACCTTTGATGCCCATGAAATAATTCTAACTGCAGTTCTAAAAGACGAGCTCACAAAGTTATAATATATTCATTATCTCAGATTGATCACATTAATAAACATGACACTCATTCACATTTCTAGCAACACAGAACAAAACAAAACCCCATCTAAGGACTTTTCAGTTAAATTGGCTATAGTGTTCATTTTAAGGCTGAAAAAGATACTAAAATCAATTTTTATAAAATTGAGTTAAGAAAATTCACAGAGTATGCTCTCTTGAAAATGTAGGTTAATCAATGTTTCACTTCTGCAGTGACTTTCATGAGGATTGTTGGGTTTAATAGTAGTAATTACATACCTATTCTGTCCATTTGCTATTTACTACTGTAGTAGAGTTGAGTTATTTTGATTCTGAAATCTTCTAATTGACATGGAAAATGTTTCTAAATAGTTTTATATATTTCCACAAGTTCTAGAAATAGGAGATTCACTCAGCTAGTAAAGGCAAGGCGAATGGACTAAGTAAACCATTTAAAATACTCTGCAATTGTATGAACGTTTACTGTTAATGAATGTTTATCAGAGTACTGTAAACCTTCTTACAACTTTCCTGAGATATGGAAGGTTTTGTTAAAGTAACAGTCATTCATGGAGGAGCCTGGGATACTTGCCACATTGTTGACCTTGAAATTATGTTATATATTTTAAAATAGCAATTCTTGTTTGTATTTCTGCTGACCCGGTTTATGCATCTGAGCGGGTCATGACATTTTCTATTCCATTTTAGTACTGGAATAGAATGTCTACTTGAATGTCTTTTATTTAAATTTGATTGAAAAAATGCAGTCAAAGGTTAGCTATTCACCACAAGTTTTCTCCTTGATATGGTGAACTACTGTATTCATTTTAGAACGTCCACCTCTCACCAGTAATTTAGAGCTAGTGTAACATGTGCTACCTTAAATCTTTATACAGCTTTTGGGAAACATATGTTTCTGCCTTTTACCTTATAAAATACCTAATATAAAATTGATAGTGAAAAAAGATATACAACCACCCAACTCAGTAAATGACATGGAGCATCCGATCAAATTCACTTATTTTTCTCTCATGCTCCAATAAAGTGCCAATCCCAGTATCTTATTAATGGGTTAGAGTTATTTCTTTGGCATTGCTGCTTTAGTAGGCAGTCAGGCAATATTGTCATCGGATACACCAGGCACTCTTCATTGGGAATACAGGGAGAAGAAAAGAAGTAGGGACAGTAAATAAATTCACGCATAAACCTCTACTCATGTAAACATTATAAATAGAGAATATCCTTAATCCTGCCCCACTTTGGGGAAATTACTCTCATCTTTGTAGCTTCAAGTTTTCTGCACAATATTCTGTGCATTGCAGCTTCGTGGAGCCCTTCTCCTGCTCTGAGGCCCAGTCTCCAGGTGCTGATTTTCCATATTCATGGATTACTGTGCCATCCAATCCAGGAACACCCTCTGTCTTTGATGCACCAAAGCAAATCGATGCATATGCACTTGCAGTTTAATTGCATATTTAAACAGAGAACTAGAGTTGTATTTATGAAAGTACATCAGATATTGAAATATAATCTATTTATTCCATAAGAATAATAGATAACTTCATCCAGTGAATAACTAAATAGGGTCCTTGAATAGATTAGTAGATTAAAAACAAAACATAATGAGAATGGACCCAGAATGCATCCAGAGTTGTTCATCCAGACTTTTGTACCCACATGCAGGATAATTAGTATCTGATCATTTTAAAAAATCAAGGTAATTCATGCAAAGCAGATCTGTATTCCTCAAAGGTTCATGTGCATTATTGACATTGCCTCTTCCCTCTTATCCCAAAGGGCAGCATGACTACTCGCTTTCATGATGCCTCTTTCTTCATTTCTCCTGGCTATAGGAGCATAGCAGATGCTTGCACACTAAGACTTGCACACTCAGCAATACGACAATATTTCCCAGTATGCCGAGGTCACTTTTTGTTTCTCCAACTCCTTTAAGACTGGTGTGGCTCAGCTGGCTGGGTTCTGTCCCTGAACCAAAAAGTTTCTGGTTCAATTCCCACTCAGGGTACATGCCTAGGTTGCAGACTGGATCCCTGGTAGGGGTTGTGCAGGAGGCAGCCAATGGATGTTTTGCTCTCATATAAGTATTTCTCTCTCTCTCTCTCTCTCTCTCTCTCTCTCTTCCTTTCACTCTAAAAATTAACTTTAAAATCTTTTTTAAAATTACAAAACTAAATAACCCTGATAAGACCCATGGACTTTTAATTAGATGAATTTAAAAAATTGTTTTGAAAAGTTACCATATTATTTTTTTTTAGATAAGAATGATATTAAATGATAAATTTAGTTCTCTAAAATCAGGATTTTAAAATACTTTCATTGTAGGAGGCTTCAAGAAAAATTTAATTAACATACTAGTGGAGTGTTTTCCAAAGGCAAATATGATTTCTGATATTTTTGTTCACCACCCTAATTTAATTCATTTTAAAGTTATTGCATACTGATTTGTTTCTTGTTTGGGAAATTCTACATAGACAGATTTCAAGTGTAAAAATTAAATATTTGGAGTAAAAAATTATGAGTTAAAATAATTTGCTATTTTCCTACTGTCTGAAAATTTAATTTCATAAAAAAAAAAGTGCCTCCTTCTTCCTTTATTATGATCTCCATGGTAGGGGTGGGTAATAGAAAACCCTGATTTTAAAAAGTTGTAGAATGCCATTCCATTGGGGAAAAAATATCAAAGAATCAAGTTAAGTTTATATGTGTGTGTGCAAGTGTGTGCATGTGTGTGTAAAATAATTATTACCAAATTATATTTAAATTGTTGACTATTTTGTAAGACTGCATATGAGAGATTTTAGGTCAAGTATTTCTCTTTTAAACTGTATTTAGTGTTGATTATATTTGTTAGTTTTATCAAATGAATTAAAAAAGTAACTAAAATTAAATATAAGGCAACTTTAACTTTCAACCTAATATAGCAGTTTGGACATTTTGAAAACATAGCTCATAAGATCTCCAGAATTCTTAAGAAAAAAACCTTAACTCTTGCTATACACAGCTACAGATTATACATTTTTATATGAATTTTACTAAATTTCAAAATGAGCAAGCACTATAGAATTAAAGATACACTTGATCTATCAATTTTTAATTTTTTTTAGCCCTTATATCATTACAACATAATGTTCAGTGGCAGCTGCTAACAAGGACAAGTTTATTTTTTTATGCTTTCTAGATTTTTTTAAATTAAAAGGATGACTGTTTGGATTATATTAAAGGTTCCCCCAAATATTGAGGTTTTATTATTCACTGTTATTATGACTGTTTCAGTTAAAGTTATGAAACATGATGAGTCAGTTCAAAATTTTTTTAAACTATTAAAATTGTAATCATTATCTAACTTCAAGCACATAAATGGCCAAATTTATCCAAAAGGGAGTTGTTTTTTTTTTTAATTTTATTCTAAACTTTGAGTTTTAATATGTTGTATTTATATTTTATGTATTAATGTATATGTTTCATATATATCTAGAAAATAAACAAGCTTAAAATAATAGCATTAAAATAATATTTTCTTCGTGGTTTCATTAATCATATTAGTTTGCTCCACTTGCCCATTTTACTTCATCAACTGTATGTCTTTATATTTGATGACATTGATGACAGTTGACGGCAAAGGACTGAACTGATAATTATGGCTTGAAAGGTCTTATAGCAATATCAGTAATAGAATAAAAGACTCCTGTCAAACAGATGGTTTTCATAATAAAAAGACAATAAATAAGAAATGTCTGAATGAATAATTTCCTTGGACTTGCTCTCAGTATGTAAGGAAGTTTTACCAAAGCTTTTACTGTTAGTGAGCAGGAGAACTGAGAGACCTGAGCTGTATTTGGAGATTTTGTGGTAATGAGCTTCGAAACCTGGTTCATTCACTGCAACCCTCTTGTCCCCTGTTAAGAAAATTATCAGCTAAGTGAGAGAATTAGACTAAAGACGTCTTTCAACTCAAAACTGAGGTGATTTTTAAAGAAAGCATGATACAGTGAAGAGAGCAAGATACAGTCACACTGACCGAGATTCGATTTTCAGCTGGAGTACTTATTAGCTCTGTGACTCCCATCAGACACTCTGATACTTGCACTTCAGTTTCCTCATTTGTAAATTTAAAATGCCTGATTATGTCACTGTGAGGACCAAAATATTATACGCAAAACAACCGGTAACAGCAATAAAGTGATGACATCTCATTGTTCAACCAGTTGCCAATCCCATGACTGTTACTCTCTCGAGTCCGTGGCAGAAATCCTGTAAAGGGTATATGAAGGGGGACACTTGACCTAAAGTGTGAGACTTTAGGGAAGTGAGAGGTTAGAGGGCTCAGAAGGGGGGTGAATAGTCTCCGCATGAGGACTGGCTCTAGCTGGCAGTAGATGGCAGATTGGTCCCCTGCACATGACCTGCTGACCTTTCTCCTCCCTGTTCCCTCCTGCAGGTGAGCGGCCCTTCCACTGTAACCAGTGTGGCGCCTCTTTCACTCAGAAGGGCAATCTTCTGAGACACATAAAGCTGCACTCGGGAGAGAAGCCGTTCAAATGTCCCTTCTGTAGCTATGCGTGCAGGAGGAGGGACGCCCTCACAGGACACCTCAGGACCCACTCCGGTAAGTGCCAGCCACTCTCTGAGGAGAAAGCTGAAACACACTGCGGGAGAGAGCCACGAGTCATGCAGAGGACTCAGCTGGCCCATCGCGAGGAGTGACCTAGGCAGTATTTTTTATTAGTGTGCATTGAACAACCAATAAAGCTTGCCCTTCTTATAGACTGGGCTAAAGGGGCACTGTTAACTAGAGTCTCTTATTTTAAATCTCCGGAGTAAGAATTCAGCTGTTACATATGTGTTCTATGATTTTTTCAAATTTTTTAATTATTAACACAATAATTATGGTTAACCCAGGATAATGTGAAATATTATAGTTACATGCTGATGTTATCATAAAAGAGATGAAAGCTATGATTTTTTATTATTATTATTATTATTATTATTATTATTATTATATTTTACTGATTATAACACCCAAGCTGGGGCCTTAGTGGGAAGTCAAATATTGCTATTTTTAAACTTGAAACTATGCTCATTAGAAATTTGGCTGTTAGAGTATATTTTATTTCCTTTTAGTTCCTGTTTTATCTCTCAAACTATAGTCATTGGATGCTCTCTGGAACTGTTCTCTACTTCATAAATCATCATTAAAAATCTTGAAGAAGTTTGATTTTTTTTTTTTTAATGCTAGAATGTAGTACTGGAAAGAAAAGGGATGCTTAGAAATCTGAATGAGTCTCATTTGACTTTTAGCATGAATTGCCATAACCAAGAAGTTAAAGGTGAAAAATTAATATTCTCTTAAGTTAGTTTTAGATGCTCCTTCTATTCCTAGTGACATATTAAAGTTTAATTTTAATATAAAGATAAGATGGAAGTGATGTTTTCATCTACTTTGACAAATTGTATTAGAGAGTGCTATGGACTGTGAGGTAATGTTTGTATTATCTTTCTTTACATTTTTTTTTTAAGTCTTCAGGCTTTACCTAGTTTTTTAACATGAGTCTGAAATGTGTAAAACTATTTAGATATTAACTCAAAGTTGGGGTGGTTATAGAAAAATTAAATTAATGCAAACATTAAAACAACATACTTTATATATTTTAGTTTCCTCCTGACTCAAAATAATTCAATTATTTGCAACTATGCCACTTAATATTTATTTTATTTTGGAATCCTGCTATGAAAAGTATATCTTAGAGTGGTATTTTTATTATCAAGTATTCTTTATGGAAATATTTTTAAGACATGAGTTATTTTCTTAAGCTAGCCATGTATTCTGGCTCATTAATGTGTGGTTAAGTTGACCAAGGGTTATATAAGACATAGCTATCTGTGCACATATCTATTGGATGAAATTGAAGCAAAAATAATTTTAAATACCTGTTTTATTCTTTATAAAAATTGTGTTGCTTTTAATACTGTGATTTAGTGTACACATTTTCTTTACCTGGCATGTGCTATATTCTCAGAAGGTTTGATGCCTGGGGACACCTCTGAAAGACATTCGATATTCATCTCAATTCCTGTTTCCTTGATTTCATGTTTGTTCTCTTAACAGCTCTATCCCTGTAGGTGGTATCTCACAAGTCAAGACATCTTGGTTTTTGTTAGACTGAGCTGGGCACCTGCACTTAGCTTCTTTATGCAAATTAGGCATGGTCCATCTGATGCACCTGGTTGGTGGGTGATAAAGTGAGGAGAGGGAAAGGTGTCATTCCAGAAGTAGGCCACTCATTAGCTTTGGCCAGGCCAAACCCTTAACAGTATGTACACGGTTATGTGTAATTGTCAAGTTTGTGTGTATGAATTGAAGCTGTTTCTGTGAAACTGTATATTTATAGATAAATATATTGTTACTTTGAGGTTCCAAAGAAACCAAAACTGTGGTTTCACTACAACCATGTTGGTGTTGCTATATCAAGGCATGATTTTTGCAGCTATGTATATAGCATACTCAAACTGGCAAATAAAAGAGAGTTTACTGGAGTGATGTTACTGCATCATCAAGGGGTATTATCAGTTCAGTCATTTTCGAATTGGACTCTAAAATATTAGTCATCACCAGTGCTTTTCCTAATAGAGGAAACATGAAGCAAAACTGCTAACGTCCAAGCTTCTAAATGGTCAGAAAGCTCAAGCTGCTCATCATAATGTTCTTCTAGTACCAATTCTATCTTCCCCTCACTGTCCTTGTAGCATGGGCTGGACAGGTTTCATTATCTGATGGGTGACCCAAACCTTATTTCTAGAAGTTCACAATGCTTGTAGTCCTTCCACTTTGTACAAGCACAAGAATAGCTAGGTAAAGGATCTGACCAACATTCAAATAGATTATTTGATTGGTTTGGGTCACCCATCAGATACTCTTGTCCAAATTACTAAAAGCATCTCCATGGTGGATACCTTCTAGAGAGAATTCACATAGGACATGTCATCACCTTGGGTACCAATTCCGAGAGATTTATTCACACAACTCTCCCCCAGACCTATCACCAATTTCCCTGTCTTGTTCTTCCAAGTCTGTGATCATACCATGTAGCATTACCTCAGACATATCTCCTTCCATGCAAAGTGCACAGTCTGAGATTTTGCGAGGGGAATATCCTGTCACTATGCTATTTCGGGGCTAGTCCCCCCTTAGTGGGCCTGTAACACAGTGGTCACAACTCATACCAAATACCATGCAATCCATTCATGAACTAGATTCACAGTATCATCCTCCATTTTTACTTGACACTAAAGATGCCCCATGAAGTCATACATGTGGCTTGAGGAGAGATGATGAAGCAGTAGTCGCAGGTATCAGGGACACCTGCGCTACTGCTCATGAAATCCACCTGGCTTCCCAAACCTGCACGGTCCCAGTTTCATTTAACAATGGAATGCTCGTAGGTACCTCTGATTCAATGACATATTGAGCCAGCTAATAGCTAGTTCATTTTGTGTAGTTTGGGCCACATAGTCATTTAGAGTCTGATGGCCCAGTACTCTCAGTCTTAAACAGAGTCCAGTACTAATATAGGCGGAGTTCTTAAAATGAGAATAGCTATTGGTACAAGACTGTATGTCTTTAAATAAAAAATAAATCTGTACTCTCATACTTCTAATGACAGAGATGTTTTAAAGCCACAGCCATTTCCAAAAAAATCATTGCATTGCTGGAGCTTGGAGCCAAAGGTACAGTATAGGGCAGCTTTCATCACAGCAGAGGCATGCTGCAGATCCTTTTCCTGCCCCAGTTCCTCTTTCAACACCCACGGCCCCGTGAATTCCTGGTACGTGCCTCAGAGCAGCGTATCCAATGTGGAATTCACTTTTCCAAAATCCAAGAGAGCACCATGTTTGTGCCTTCTTCATGGTGACACATACGAGATGCAGCCATTTGTCATTTGCTAAAGAGGATCCATTTCAACACGTCCAGGTCACTGGGCCCGTACCCTTTTACCAAGGCCACAAATCTTTGAGCTTTCCATGGAGATTATCTCCTACCCTCTAGCATATATCTTATTCAGGTATCTGAGGTATTTACTACTTCCTGCTCATCAAGTCCAATCAGTATAGTACCACGAATGTAATGTTCCAGCTTGATGTTCTGTGGGATGTCAAGATGAACAAGATTTCTCTGGACTGTATTATGACAAAGAGAGGAGAGTTGACCTAACCTTCAGGTAAGATAGTGAAAGTATGCTGTTCCTGCAATGTGAAGGCAAAGTGCTTCTGATTATCTTTGTTGATAAGGAATTATTTTTTTTTAAATGGTTCATACCTTCATACCTGGTGTCAGGGGCTATTTTAATGTGATCCAGTGAAGATAATGCACCTAGAGATGCACTTGCCGTTGGCATTCGTGAGGCGATTAAGTCTGCATTCACCCACAGAACCATCTGGGTCTCACATTAGCCTAAAAACACCGCTTCCATGGGGATGTGGTAGGGACCGCCACCCCAGTCTTTCAGCTTTAGTGACAGCTAGTGTCTTGGGCGATGTTGTAGTGCTCCGGCTATGCTCTCCGATGGGGTAGCCACTAGCCACAGATGGCTGTTAAACACCTCAATATGCTGGTGCCACATGCTGAAATAGTTTTGCTTCAATAAAATACAGGGATTGGCAAATGTAGGTTTACAGTTGTGAGTGTGGGAAACAGTTAATAAAGCTGTGGAAATAGTCAGAATCTGGGGGTCTCTTTCCAACTGAACAACTGTGAACCTACATTTGCCCACCCCTGTACATTTACATCAGGGTACCCAGACCTATTTGGACACTTATTGCTGTTCTCTGCAGCCAGAGGAGACAGCTGCCCTCCAGGCTCTCACACACGCAGGCTCTTTCCTCACCCAGGTCATTGTTTGGTGAAGGGAGTGTTCCAGGGCCATGGTAAAGGACAGGCTGAACAGGGTGAATCATAATGGATCCTTTTCAATATTCTTACTTACTTGAGCTTTTGAACTTCCTCCACTCTGCTCTGCCAGGAAAACTTTAGCATTTCAACTTTTTTCTATGTAAGCCATCATGGAATCAAGGATCAATTAATTAGCCACTCCCACCTGCTCAAAACAATATGCTGAACCCCAAATCCCAGGTGAATGCTCGTCTATTGATCAGTTTGGCCAGATCTGGCATCTTAGTTCGCCTTCTTGGTATACAACCCTTAGAATCAATCCATTACATTCCCTTACATGCTAGCCAGACTCCTGCTAAAACAAATCAGAGAAGTTTCCTGAATCCGAATTCAGTGTATAGGCCATCACCTTATGGATCAGGCCTTGGTTTTGGGCTATCTTAGGGTCTAACTTGTGAGCCTGGGGTCAATGGGATGTAATAGGAGGAAGCCCCTCAGTCTTTTATCAGATAGTACCATCTCCTGTCCCACCCTTTTCTCGTCAGTACCCCATTACCAAGACCAGTGACATTGGTTCTACCCATTTTATATAGCATGGCAATTCCATAAGCTTTCAGATCAGATTCTGGAGTTGATCTGCAGCTTTATTTGCCCTGAGGCTTAAGTAAGTTGGGGCTATCTTAGAGCTGACTGAGAAACTTTCTGATATTTTACCTCTG